AGATTTAAACTGGAGGCATTACGTCGATTGGTGATGTCTCAGGGCTTCTCCCCGTTATTAACTCACCAATGAGGCTCTTTATGTTGTTTCTGTCCCTAAAATATCTCCCCTCTTCATAAAATGTTAATGCCAGGGATGCTCGCTGCCTCTTTATATGCTGCATCGCGGCAGAGGACCACACACTTCTGTGAAGCCAGGATTTTTAATTTTCCCATGATCAAATATTCCCTTGGGACAATATTACACCTCTTCATGTGGATATAGTGTGTATATATAGCTTTAGAATGTGTATTCAGAGCTGAAGCCAGTTTCTACTCAGCAGCCTTAACCTGGGACTTCTAAGGAGGCTTAGAATTCCCAAAACAAACCCAGGAAAGCCAGCTAAGTCATCATGACTACACACATGAGTTCCAAGGAGGGGGCCCATCATTCTTCCACCTGACCAAGTCCTGCATGGCCCTAAGCTCAGTGTGGTCTCAACTATAACCTTGACTCATCTCTGGTGGGAAATTCCATCAAAGGGGCACTTATTAGCCAACAGATGGAGGCTTATGTCAAGATGACCAAACCATACTGGGTGATGTTCTCAAAGAACTAACAAATGTAGGCGGCATGTAGGAAAAAAAAAATCAAAGATATAATTAAAGGCACCGTGGCTTTGGCGCAGTAGCTTCAGAAGTATAGATGAGACCTCCAGGGTCAGGTGACCTCTCTGTGGCGAAGAGTCATCACAAATGCAGAGTTGACATGGAAAGGGGAATGGATATCTGTATAAACGCACAGAGTGACATAGTGGGGGTGAGTCCCCATGGAAATGCTGTGGACTTCTTGACCCTGGCGGGTCAAATCTTCCAACTCTCTGGGTTTTATATAGACTCTTCTGACTTTTCATCAGAGGTTTAATGTTTTAAACCTTTATGATTCCAAAAAAAAAAGTATATTTTCAATGCACATAGGACTGTGGTCTTTAAACTCTGTCTGCAGACAACGGGTGAGAAACAGTGGGCTGTGGTCAGAAGGGCATGCCAGCAAACTCCAGATAGAGAGGGGCACAGAGAGTCCCTTCTCTGACCCAGGGTATCTCCAGGGCGTGCCGGCAAACTCCAGATAGAGAGGGGCACAGAGAGTCCCTTCTCTGACCCAGGGTATCTCCAGAAGCCAGGTCAGCATACCAGTCTAGTGAGTGATTATATCCAGAGATCACTGTCTCTGATCTTCATCATTTAAGAAAAGCTGGGGAATAGTATACCCAATTATCTAATGAAATTAAATGGTACTCTTCCATGACCACGGAGAGGAGACCTCTCTGCACTTTATTATGCTGTATATATGAGAAGTCCCTATCCATCGCTAATTTCATTCAGCCCTAATGACTTAGTGATGGTGCATTTCCTACCCAATCACACAGAATGCCGCACCGCTAAACCAACGGTAAGCTCACTGAGGAGTTTCTAAACTCCTACAGCATGCAAGCACACCTGCCTTTTTAAAAGTTGCAGCCGACAGAAGGACACAGGTTAAATCTCAACTCTTAATTCCAGTGGCCTAGCACCACAGACGTTGTCTTAGAGGCTTGGTGTATCTCAGAACATCCTCTGCCCGGCACCGAGGCTGCGTCAGCTGCATTCGCTAGTCTTTTAGAGGATTACCAACAGTTTCCAGTTGTTTTCCCTCATTTTTATATTATGATTGTAATAAATAATTAACCCCTGCCTTTGTCTTTTGTAGTATTAGGGGCAGCGGGGCCTCTTCCCCAGCACCCCAGCACCCCAGCCGCCCGCTCTGCTAGCTTATGCCCCGAAATAATTACACAGACACTGTATTCCTCCAAACACTGCCTGGCCCATTCTCTTCTAGGCTAATTCTCACATATTAATTTAGCCCACCTCTAATCATCTGTATGTAGCACCCCAAGGTGCGCTTACCGGGGAGATTCCAGCCTAGTCCATCCTGGGTCGGAGCTTCATCCCGGGAGCGGGGCATGGCGTCTCTGCTGAGGCGTCTGCTCCGGAGAGCAGAGCTGTGGAGTCTCTGAGCTCACTTCCTCTTCCTCCCAGCATTTTGTTCTGTTTGCTCCTCCCACCTATCCTCTAACCAATAAAATGGGCCAGGGCAGTGCCTTTATTAGCCAATGACCTTCCTCCATCAGTCTTTCTTTGACGGACGTAAATTGAGAAAAGCCGTGCCGTTTGCAGGGAGGCGCAGGTTTTCTAGTAGCGATAGGATCTGGATCACCAGGATGCAAGGCCAATTCAGTGCGGGGTAAGTCACCTCTCATGAATCCCTTAGCTGAGATCTTTATGATACGAATGAACTTTCACAGGGTAAGTGAGTTTATCTTTGTAGTTCCGGAAGTCAACACAAATTGGCACAACGTGCTGAGAACCGCAAAGGCTGCTTTTGCTCATCCAGTAACTACTGTCAGAAAGCTCTGGCTCAGACACACGAAACATAAGAGAAAACCGAATCAACCGAGTTCACGTCAACTGGTCAACCCCATGGATGCTAAACTTCATTTTCTCTCATCTACCTAAACACAGAGCCACACGCATGATTTCTGCAAGGAAGCTAGACAAGTAAGATGTGGAAGCAATGATCAAAGCGAAGGGTTCCTCCCCTACGACAGATGATAGCTCTTCACAGTGCTATATCAAATTTCTTTTCTTAGGCATGATGGCACATGCCTATAATCCTATCACCTGGGAGGCTGAGGCAGGAGGATCTCAAATTTGAGGTTGACTTGGGCTACACAGGGAAACCCTGCCTCCAAAAGCCAACAAACAAACAAACAACAAGAAAGCAAAAACAAAAACCTATGAGTGTTTTCACTGTCAAAATGGCTCCATCTGCCAATACAATCAAGAAGAAAACCTAAAAAAATTTTTTTTTCTATTGTATAGAACTAAGATAGACCTTGAATAAAAGTCCATGCAAAGTGACTGGCTTCTGACTAATCTTTGGTGTTCTATTGGTTCAAAACAGAAGTCTGGACCAGTTTATAGCAAAATAAGAAATGGGGGCTGATAGTGAGTTTTTCATGGGGATGGATTTCTACGGTTGGTGTGACATCTCATCTGACACTATTTCACGGCTACACTTAGTATTCCACAGTACTGAGCGTTATGAAACAACCCTGTGAATGACTAGGAGCTTCTCTGGAAGTATTCGAATCAATTTATTTTCTAAAATAAAGGGTTGGGAAACTATATAGGGCCCTCTTTAATTTGAAGAAATTAAAAGTCTCAAAGCCACTGCTCTATGTGACTCAGTATACTGGTCTAATTATCCGTAGGGAGGTTCCTTGGTGTTTGGATGAAGCCCTAGCCAGGAAAAGATCAGGACAAGGAGAAAGGAGATGTGCCTTGTGGCTCAGCCTCCCACAGTGAGTGGCTCTGCCGTTTGCTCCTGCCCACAGCTCTGGGTTCACCCATAACTTTGCAAGACACTGCCTCCATGAACCCACAAGTCACAGTGTGACTCTAACCAGAGAAACTGAAAAATCAAAGCCTGGGGGCTTTAGCTGAGATGTTGGTGTTTGATAAAATGTAGTTGGGTAGGCCCCTTCACTTGTGGCTGCTCCCCAGACATAGAAGGGTGGAGTAACAGGAAAGGAGACACCCTTCACCATCTCTTCTAGGACATCTGTGACATAAACTCTACCTCATTACCTCTCCTTCATTATCATCATCTGATGTGGGAGTCCCCTCTGTCTGCTGTGATTACCATTAATGAATAAAGAAACTGCTTTGGACTTATAGCAGGGCAGAACTTAGGTAGGCAGAGAAAGAAAGCTAGGCTGAATACTGGGAGGAGGAAGGCGGAGTTAGGAAATGCCATGGAGCCAGTGCCAGAGTCAGACATGCCCAAACTTTACTGGGTAAGCCACTGCCACATGGTGATACACAGATTAATGGAGATGGGTTAAATTAATATGTAAGAGTTAGCCAATAAAAAGTTAGAGCTAATGGACCGAGTAGTGATTTAAATAATACAGTTTCTGTGTGAATATTTCAGGTCTAAGCTAGCTGGGTAGCCGGAAACCAACAAGCAGCTCTCTTTCTCCAATAATTGTCTGTTGTACTTTTCATACACCTGTGCACGCTCATGTACACTCATGCACTCTGGCCTTAACCCTTTCTTGTCTGCATGAAACCTAAGGCAGAGAGAGGGCTCTGGAGGTCTGCTTTGCAGACCACAGGGCCACAGGGCCAAACCAATTCATGTGCAAAACTCTACTGACGCACTGGTTATAAGCTCCTGAAGGTCACTGGCTTTAGATCCAGAAGGAGACAGTAAACTCAGCTACTTCAGAAAGAAACATTTGTCTCGACCTGATTGAAAAACTAAGCCCCCTAAGCATGCTACCCAAACAAGGCAGACCTGTAGAAGGGGCGGGGGTCTTCAAATTCTGAGAATCTCTCATGATTTCTCTTAAGGCTTCAGTTGAAATTAAAGATAATTCTCAGGTCAAGAGACTATTTCTTCAACTCATCAAATATGACCTGAAGAACTTTGGATCAAAATTTCCTTCAATTTTTCTTTAGAGCACAAACGGATGGGTCAGGGACTCAGAGGGTAAAGGCATTTGATGCCAAACCTAATGACCCCAGTTGGATCCTCAGGACCCACATGGTGAAGGCAAGAACTGATTTCTGCAAGTTGTCCTTCGGTCTCCTCTGCACTGCCATGCGTGTGGACGTGCGCACACACAAATAAACAAAAGTTAAAATGCCATGAAACGCGGATGGAGACGGGATTTAACATCGAAGAGCTCCAGACTTACAACCTCAAAGATGCCAGGAGAGCCTCTGCTGTTGGCATTGGCTTTCCTGGTCATTTTCTTCCGCGGTAAGCGCGTGCACAGTATCTGCTGTCAGGACAGGTCACTCTGTCCTCAGGGACAGGGTACCAGTCCTCCGCTCATAGGAGGCAGTCTGCCCCCCTGACCCCGGGCAGCTGCAGCCAGCAGGAAGCTCCGCTGGGGCTGGGAAGACACTGACCTGCACAGGCTCGGGCGGGAGCTGGACCACGTGCTGCATGCGTTCGCTGTGGTGATGTCGCGATTCCTCCTCGTAGATCACGTCCCTCTCATGCTGGGGAAGATTCAGGAAGCGGCGAATGGTGCAGAGATTCTCCCAGAGGGTGCGGTTTTCTGGGCTGGGGTTTTCCTTCCAGCGAAGCAGTTCACAGAGCCAGCCCTGGAGAGAAGGGGATACTGTGAGTTAGAGCTGCCGGTGTGGAGCGGCTGGGCCAGCCTAGACTTCAAGTTGACTGCCATTCCCCAAGCCACCATGTTTTTAGGTCAGAATTATTCCCACCAACTCTAGTAGTGACTGAAACGGTCCAACTCTTATATCCGTCCAGTGACCACGCGGATTGTTACGCCAGTGTTCGAAAGGCTTCACACTTCTTGTTTGATAAGTCAAGGCTAGCCTCTGTGTAGCCAAGGATGGCCTTCAATTCCTGATCCTTTGCCTACCGCTCCAAAGTACTGGGATTACAAGCTTGTGCCACAATGGGCTACATCCCAGGCCCAAGAATCTATATTCAACATTTCTAACACCTTCCTAAAGGACATATTCTCAATGAGTTTTTTTTTGTTGTTGTTGTTCTTCAGATACAGGGTTTTTCTGCACAGCCCTGGTTGTCCTGGAACTTGCTAGGTAGAGCAGCCTGGCCTGTCCTGGAACTTGCTTGGTAGAACAGGCTGGCCTTGAGCTCTAGAGATTTTCCAGCCTTTGCATCCCAAGTGCTGGGATTAAAGGCGTGTGCCATCACTGCCCAGCTCTCAATGAGTTTTTTCTTTTCTTTTTTTAATCATTATTTTTATTTTATGTATATTTGTATTTTGTCTGCATGTATGTCTGTGTGAAGGTGTTGGATCCACTGGAACTGGAGTTGCAGATAGCTGTGAGCTGCCATGTGCCATGTAGTTGCTGGGAATTGAACCTGGGTCCCCTCGAAGAGCAACCGATGCTCTTAACCACTGAGTCATCTCTCCAACCCCATAATGAGTTTCTTAATAAACACTACAACAGAATCTTCTAGATGGACACATGGGATTATAGTTACCCACTTTCCTAAAGAGGTAATTTTAATTTTTCAGCCATAATTTTTTAGGAATTACCCAACTGGCTAGTGTTTTATTCTAAAGATAGGAAAGACAAATACATGTCTATTATGAAATGGCGACAGAAATCGGGAAAATAATCTTGGTGTCAATAGCACCGAGTCCTCTGGGGAGGAACCATCCTTCCAATCGCTAGCTATCCTGCAGACAGAGACAACAGCTTTGGCCAGAATAAAAATCAAAGGTATGTCTGCTTCATCTCTGAGCACCGCCCTGGGCTCACCGCTCCTGCACAGCCACACCTGCAGGAAGGTGTGCCGTGGATCAGGACGGCACCTGCAAGGGGCTCGCCCCATCCCTGCCATCCGGATGTTCTCTCTCTCTCTCGCCGCTGCACGAGAAAGAAAATGCGATGCAAATGATGGCTTATATGAAAATAATACAGAGGCTGTCAACATCGCTCGCTGACTCATGTCAAAATATTTTCCCCGGTAGCTTTCTAACCCATCATCTCCAAGCTACGTCGCTAATTTAAAAAAAACAAAAAAACAAAAAAACAAGAACTGTCCCGCATTACTTCTCTCGCGAAAGGGTAGGAATTTTGGATTTGTTTTTTTTTTTTTTCCTTAAAAGGTGCATAAACAGAACTGACTTTGTGAGAAACAAACCCCAAACCCTCACCATATTCTCCGGCATCACTTGCAAGCCAGTGTGAGCTCCTGACACGCATCCTAAAAAGCCCATGTAATATCATAAGCTGTTGTTTGTCTAACTCTCTGCTGTGTCTTCTGCCTTTTCCCCGAAAAGAGGCGAGATTTGATTATCTCCGCTGCATCGGCCAAGACAGCAACACCAGCTGTTCTCTTTGTGCGGCCTCCTCCTCGCGGCCTCCATGTTAATAACCTGATCGTTCCATTTTCCCCTTCAACTCCCGGCTGCAGCAGCACCGAGGAGAGACAAAAACCCGGGCCCGCGTGCAGCAGCTGTAGGCGCTGAACTGTGAAGCCACCAGGGATTTATAAACTAATCTGTAACACAACACTGCCTTGTTTTTACAAGTGAGAGGCCACATTTGCACAGACCCGATCCTTTGCTTGCGATGAACTGGGAGCTGGGGAGAGTTAGAGGGTTAGGAAGAATGAAAAACCACGCATCTTACCCTTCACCTGGAAATGTTTTCCCAAGCGTTTTTTTATGGTCCCTCCCCGTGACTCAAGAGACAGGTAATGGTTAATTTTCAGGTGCCATGCCCACGAAAAATGAAGATAAATTTTTATCGCTACTAGGAAATAAATTATATTTTAATAAAAATCTCCCAGTCCCAAAGTGTTTTCTCAGGGGTTTCTCTATACAAAGGAAAGAATCCTTGAGATGGAAAATAAACCATCTGTGGCAAAAATTAAGGTCCCATTTCTGTGTCTTTTCACAGATCTGAATAAGTACCTAGTGAACTCTTTCAAATGCCTCAAACAGGTATGTTTAACATCTCCCAGGGGAGGCGATCGCATGGAGACCAGCCACTGAATGGAAAATCAAAACAAAAACCTACATCTGTTCAAAGATGAAGTTCTGAGCTAACCGGGCCTTAAGGAGGACAGCACCTGCCGCTCTGCGTGGGGGGTGAGCTGCATTGTGGGAAGCCGCAGCGTGGAAGGGGACAGGTGACATCTGAGTGGCATCCCCACACATGACACTTGGAGTGTCCTGCCCGACACCCAGGGCCGCGTTTGATTTATAGGCGCTGTGATCATCAGCCCTCATTACGATCACTTAGAACCACACTGTAGGCTCGTTACGGCCCTGTGTGCGGCCTGCCATCGGTCTTTCGGGAGTGCGGTGCTCAATTTGCCCACTGACACGCAAGGTCTTGACCTTGAAGCTATTAGGGAGTGGATTAGAGACAAATGTGACCACGTGGGCAGACAGAAGCAAACCAAATTAATTCCTGATTAATTCCTGGCACCGGGAAGAAGCCAACAAGGCCCCGTTCTCAGGACGGCAGAGAACGTCCCCAGATCCCGGATGGGCTGATCGGGTGGAACGTTGAAGGGAACCTGGTTTTGAAGATGAAGGCACACTCGTGGTGTTTAGAGGGTTATTAATCTGGTTTCCCCACAACGTGTTTGCTTGGCTGATCGGATTAAGGGATGGAGCCTTCAACGGCACACCCCCCCCCACCGCAGCAGGCCCCAAGAAATCTGTGATACTTCACAGCCTTGGCCATATTGCACCGTGTGTGCCCAGCTGCTTCAATAATTAGCTTATGAATGTATCAGCTGGTTCTGTGATTTTTATAAATAATAACCAACCCGTGGAGCAAAAAGCTTGTGGAGAGCCTCCTACCAGCCCAAGGTGGTGAGGTGCTTCCTAGCTCAGATCTGCTCTTACAAAACGATGGTATTCCCACTAGCAGGACTCCTGTGACGCCATTTATAAATATTTATTTCTTATCTGAAACAGCGATGCGTTTGGGGGGGGGGCAGTTCTCTTCTCGTGGGCCGTGATTTGCAAGCTCGTCCCTTTGGCTCACTGGTTGGCTGGCCCTCTGAATGTCCCCCTCCTCACCGCCACCCCGCCCATCATGGCCATGGCCACGCCATCCCTCCACCAGGCCATTTGGACATGGATCTCTGTCTTCTCAGTAGGGCCTCAGAGTTGCTTGCCTGGTGGCTAATGATTGCACACAGAAGTGTCTGGCCAGTGCAGGAACACATACCTGTGTAACTGTGAGTGGACCCATCCTAGGAGAAATAAATGGTCCCTATGTAAGGATTTTTTTTTCATTTATATAATTTTTGCATGCCATCCAAGAAAGTTTTGCAGTATCGGGCAAAAAAAAAAAGTGTAAATGTCAAATAAAACAGTGACAGATGACTGTATTCTCTATTGAATAGCACTGTTTCTGCCGTGCATGTTCAATGGGAACTCATGAATTATTAATAAACAAATCTCCTTTTTCTGTTAAAAATCTCAAGTAGGTTTTTTGTGTTGCTCGCTATCTGTTTAGGGGAGCATTCCTGAAGTAGTTTCATTTTGGAAGCACTACTGTGGCCCATGTGATCTCCAGGCCCAGCAGCTCCTGCCTAGGTCCCTCTCCGTGGCTTCCCACTTGGTCTGATGGGAAGTTCTGACTGGGGACGGGCTGCCTGGCCATGCAGTCCGGTTAGCTTTCTGAGTCGAATAAGCAGGGATTCTGTGGGTTTCAGGGTCTGGGCACAGCTCAGAATGGCCAACAGCATCCACATTGATAGCCCCAAGACCTGAGGACTAGGTCCTTGCCCTGTCATGAAGTAACTGTCATGAAGTGACCTCTGAGGACGCGGCTGCTCTGTCGGAGCTTCTGGGTATTCAAGGGGAACCTTACAAAAATGATGGGGTCCCCTGGTTCTGCTCTTCATGATCTGTTACCTGATCCTGTCATGAGTGGAAAGTAATTCGTTGTTGGTGTTTTGAAATACAAGGGAGAAATGACCTTGGCCAATTGACTAATCATTGTGGGAGGTCAAGGTCAGCTTTACTAGTGAAGCGTGCTGACACCACAAACACTGTTTTATGCTGTACCACAAAGGGAAGACTGTCTTGCGGAAGGTAGTTTTGCCCCCAACGTCATAATCTCAGCTCAATCAGGAAAAAGCAGCCACAAATCCAGACCCAGAGAAGCTTGAGGCAATGACCAATCAGCAGCCTTCAGAGATGGCAGAGGAAGGAGCTAGGAGGAGTCAGAGGCTAATCAAAACCATCTATTAGCTCTGGGCATTCAAGAGGAAGGCACTGGTAGAAGAACTAAGGCAATAGAACCACGTTTTTGATACAGAAATGGCGGATTTCCTGGCTTTGTCAGCTGCACTATTTTCAACAATTTCCCTTCGGTGATGTTCAGTGTCAACATTAAGGGAAACAAATTGGGACAGGGGTGATATGCAACACAATATGGTTAGTTCTATGCTTTTTTAGAAAAAAAATTTTTTTGCTATATCTAAAATGAGTTCAAAAGGAGAAGTTTAAAAATTGGAGAGACCATTAGAACTAACTTACAGTGAAAACATACATGGAGTCTATGTATGGTGACTCCAGAGAATCCATTACAGTTGGAACCCAGCGAAGGGGCATCCGATCAAAGACTGCTTC